ACTCCACGAAGGAACACCCCATGAATCACCACCCGAACAACACCGCACGAAACACGCCACGACACACCCTACGACAAACACTCCACGACACACCTGACCTGGCGAACACAAAACACATTCCACGACACACCTGGCGAACACCTGGCAACCCTCCCCGAAACACACCCCACGAGACACCTAAGAAACCCCCAACGAAAAAACATACGAAACACCGGAGGAACAACACCACACGAAACGCACCCCACGAAACACCACACGGACAACACTTCCAATCCACGACAAACACCCCACGAAACACCCCACGAAATTCTCGACGAAACACACCCCACGAGTGGGCCCCCCAGAGGCCCCAGCGGTGTCCGCGTCCTCTTTGAGGGCCCCCCCGCAGGCGCCAGAGGTCTCCCAGGCGGGCCGAGCAGACCGCGGGCGGCCCAGAAGCGCTCCCAACAGCGCCGACGGTTGTCGCGCAGCTGCCCCAGCAGGGGGCCCGCGTGGTCCTGACAAACCCCCGTGGGGCGCACGGGGGAGCGAGGACGGAGGCGTAAGGAAGACTGGGGACGAGGACTGGGGAGGTGGAGGACGAGATCCAGGAGGTGGAGTAGAGCCAAGGAGCATGATGATGACGGCGGTGGTGGTGGTGGTGAGGAGGATGGTGGTGATGTTGATGCAGCTGATGATGCTGCCGGTGATGGTGATGATGAGTAGGATGATGCTGCCAATAATGATGCTACTGATGATGGTGACGCTGATGATGCTGGTGGGGATGATGACGATGATGATGATAATATTGATGATGATGATGATGATGATGATGATGCTGATGATGGTGATGATGATGGTGAAAATGTTGTTGATGCTGATGATGATCTGATGATGATGGTGGTAGTGATGGTGGCCATGATAGTGATGGTGATGGTGGTGGTGATGGTGATGATGGTGATATGATGCCGATGCGGGTGCGGGTGCTGGTGCTGGTGCTGCTGTGTCTGCTGCTGCTTTTGATGATGATGATAATGACGATGATGATGAGGAGGTTGATGATGATGATGCTGGTGATGATGAAGATGATGAAGGTGAATATTTGTATGGTGATGATGCTGATGGTGATGATGATGCTGATGATGATGAAGATACTGATGGTGAATCTTTCTATGATGATGATGATGATGCTGATGATGATGATGATCGTGAAGGTGATGGTGATGATGCTGATGATGCTGATGATGATGATGATGGCGATGGTGACGATGATGATGACGATGATGATGATGGTGATGATGGTGTTGCTGGCGATGATGTTGATGATGTTCATGGTGATGCCGATGATGCTCACATTGGTGATGTGATGCTGCTTTTGCTGATGATGATGCTGCTGCTGATGACCATAGTGATGCGGATGATGCTGATGAGGACAGGGACAAGACGGGGGAAGAGGTGGAGGAGGAGGAGGAGGAGGAGGTGCCGCAACGCACGCTATCGATGCGCGGAGGCTTCCTTTCAATCGCTGCCAGGGACCACTTGCGAGTGGAACCCCTCGCGTTTCCCACTGAGTCCCACGTGCCCCGCTTGCCTCGTCCGCCGTACACAACCGACGGCGAGTGGGGCAAGTGGGGCAAGTGGGATCGAGTGGGGCAAGCTTGGCAAGGGGTCCAAGTGGGGAGATTGTAACTAGCAAGCGGCGCAGCGTTTCTCCTCGAAGGTGCGCGGCACTAAGGCGAGAACAGCATGTTGTAAGCGAACCTCCCTCAAACCGCGAACATCTTTGTGCGCGGCCCCATTTCGAAACCGACCCGCCCTCAATCAGTGAACACCTTGCAAAGTTCAAGACCGAGCGTGCGCGGCGCTAAGACGAGAGCCATCGTTTGATACGGCCCGCCACCACTCTGTGTTTTTCCTAACCATACATTTGTGCTGGGTCCTCGTGTTGAAGAGACAGCGCCCCGCGTTCCATCCTCCTCTTCACTCGTCCGCCCTCTCCTTCTCCTCCTCCTCCTCCTTCCTCCCCCTCCTCCTACATTATCATCATCATTAGCAGCATCATCATCAGCATCATCATAACCACTATCATCATCGTAACCATAAGCATTACCATAATCAGCATCGGCATCATCATCACTATCACCATTCTCATCATCAGCAGCAGCACCAGACAGCAGCATCAGCACCAGCATCACATCCTCATCGTCATCATCGTCTTCACCATCATCATTAGCAGCATCATCATCATCACCATCATCATTATCACCATCATCACCATCATCAGCATCAGCATCACAATTATCAACACCATCATCATCACTATCATCATCTTTTTCATCAGCATCAGCATCACACCGTTATCCTATTAAGGCATCCCCCATCTATGTTTTCACACCCGTCACACGTTTCGTGCCCCCATATGGGGCTCCACCGAAGGCCCCAGTGGCAGGGTATCGCATGGCGCCGCCGCGCCCATGTCAGCAGACACCTCGCACGCTTCGTGGCCCCATAGGGAGCCCCGCCGCAGGCCTCAGTGGTAGGATTCGCATGGCGCCACCGCACACTTGTCGTCGGCACACCCCTCACACGCTTCGTGGCCCCATAGCGAGCTCCGCCGAAGGCCCGAGTTGCAGGGTTCGCAGGGCGCCACCGCACCTAATACGGCACAACTATCACACGCTTCGTGGGCCCATAGGGAGCTCCACTCGATGTCTCAGTTGGAGGATTCGCGTGGCGCCACCGCACCCAGATCGGCACACCCCGCACACGCTTCGTGGCTCCATAGAGAGCTCCACCGAAGGCTCCAGTAGGAGGGTTAGCATCGCGCCACCGCACGTATTCCCGCACACCCCTCACACGTTTCTCTTTGGGAGGATCCACATGGTGCTCCCCGCCCATGTCGGCACACCCCTCGCACGCTTCGTGGCCCCATCCGTCCGAAGGCCTCTGTGGGAGGGTCCACATGCGGCCTCTCGCCCATGTCGGCACACCCCTCACACGTGTCGTGGCCCCCGGGGGGTTTGGTACTTGCTTGTCTGTAAAAGATGTTTGTTGGAAAACAAAGGAAGTACTGTCCAATATCAATGTTTAGACGCCTGGCTCTGAAGACTCTGAGGTTCTCCAGGGGTCCCCTCAGCTTTCTGGGGGTTGCCTGAGGTCCACGGGGGCCCCGGCAGGCGGCTGGGAGGGAGGAGGGAAGAGGAAGGACACTTGCTTGTTGTCAAAAGAGATCTGCGTGAAAAAGGCGGAAATTCGGGTGATTGTTGAATTCTTTGAGTTTGTGTTTCTGAAGTTTCCAGATGTATCTGAAGATCCCCCGCGGTTTCTGGACGGAGCTTAACGGCTCATTTGCTGGGAGAATAGAGATTTTCTTTGGTTGTGCGATTCCAACCATCTTGTAGTGTTGGGTCTTCGTTTAGAAGATACAGCACTCCGCGTCTCACTCATTCCTTCCTCCACTTCTCTCATCCCTGCCTCTGTCCATCCCTGTCTCTGCCCTCCGCATGTCAACCATTTTGGCACACCCCTCACACGGCTCGTGGCCCCATAGGGAGCTCCGCCGAAGGCCCTTGTGGCAGGGTTCGCATGGCGCCACCGCGATCATGCCGGCACACCCCTCACAAGGATCGTGACCCCATAGAGTTATGATGTTCCAACCTAGCCTTGATCACCAGAAAGAATTTCGAGCACCAAAAACCGAAACTCAAGGATTTTCACGTGTCGGGCCCTGGGAGACATTCGCCCGACACTGTTTCGACACTGTTTCGACACTCTTTTGACACTTTTTGGGGTGCTCGAAATTATTTCTGGGATGTGGTCCTTAAGTCGGATGGGAACACCATAAGCATAGAGAGCTCCACTGGAGGGCTCAGCGGCAGGGTTCGCATGGTGGCCTCGGGCGATTTCCGCACACCCCTCACGCGCATCGTGGCCACACAAGGAGCTCGGAAGCTCTACAGAAGGCCCCAGCGGCAGGGTTCGCATGGTGGCCTCGGGCCATCTCGGCACACCCATCATGAGGATCGTGGCCCCACAGGGAGCTCCACCGAAGGCCCCAGCGGCAGGGTTCGCATGGCGGCCTCGGGCCATCCCGGCACTCCTCACGAAGATCGGTGCCCCATAGGGGGCTACATTGAAGGCCCCAGTGGCTCGGTCCGCATGGCGGCCTCCAGCGATTTCGGCACACCTCTAAAGAGAATCGCGGCCTAATTGGGAGCTCCACCGAAGGCTCCAGTTGCAGGGTTCGCATGGCAGTCTCGGGCGATTTCCGCACACCCCTCACTCGGTTCGTGGCCCCATTGGGAGCTCCAACGAATGCTTCAGTGGCAGGGTTCGCATGGCGGACTTGGGCCATCTCGGCACACCCCTCACGAGTATCGTGGACCCATAGGGAGGTCCACCGAAGGCTCCAGTGGCAGGGTTCGCATGGCGGCCTCGGGCGATTTCAGCACACCCCTCACAAGCTTCGTGGCCCCATAGGGAGCTCTGCACGAAGGCCCCGGTGGCAGCACCCGCATGCGTCTCCCGCTCATCTCAACAGACCCCAAGCACGTTTGGGGGCTCCAAGCTGCATTGTCCCGTGCTCCATCTCCTCGCGGCGCGCTGCTTATACTCGCAGCTGCACATGGTTGGGTCCTTCGCCAGGCTACGTAATTTAAGACGAGTGTGTGCGGTACTGAGGCGAGAGCCACATTTTTCGAACGATCCCCCCATCAATCCGTTCAAATATTTTAGACGAGTGCGCGCGGCGCTAAGGCGTTGCAAGAGCCACATTTTGAAAGCTACCCGCCCGCCATGTGTGAAACTGTTGTCATGTTTTCAGCTTCATTGTCATAAGTGGTAGAGGAGCCTCAGGAGAACCCCCCCCCGCCCGTTCTTTTGATTGGCCTCGGGATGTGACAGGGAGGAGTTCTGCATGAGGAGAAGGTATCGAGGAGGAGGAGGAGGAGGAGGAGGAGGAGGAGGAGGAGGAGGAGGGGAAAGCTGGGGACCGCCTCTGCCACCCCCGGCTCGCGCGGCAGGAGTCCACATTGCACTTGGTGCTGCGGCTGCGCGGTGGCGTCATCGAGCCCTCCCTGGCCGTGCTCGCGCGCAAGTGCCTGGGGGGAGGCGGGGTGGGTGGGTCTGGGGGGTCTGGGGTGGCCCAGCACTGGTTCCGGCCAGCAGGCAGGGCGGGCAGGTTCGAGGTCTGGGCCCGGGAGAGTTTTTTTGTTCGGCTTCGGGGGCCCGATTTCGGGTCCTGGGACCGTGACAAACGGATCCTGGTTGAAAAACATCACCAGATGGACCAAGAAGAGGTCCAGGGATTGATTTTGAGTGGATTTGGTATCATCCCCCCTCCTGACCGACATTCTGGGGTCCCATTCAGTTCAGACCCCCCAGCAGCCTCTAGAGTCACCCCAATCGCCCATGGATCGCCGATAGAAGCCGATAGGTCACCGCCCAGGAGCAGGCGAATTCGGTATCGGGGATGCTTATCGCCGATCTATCGGCGATGTATCGCCGATGCCAGGTCGATTTCTCCCCCCGAGCTGGGCCCCCTCCCTCATTCCCCCTCAGATGGGGGAGGAACGGGGGGGGGGAAGGGAGGCCTGAGATCGGACAAGACACCAGCACCGCTGCCCTTCCCTCGTCGCCGCGACAACCTGGATTCGCCTCGGCGCCCCCGTGCTGCACAATAACGGAGCGTGCCCGGGGCGTGCGCGAGTGTTGATGGTCCAGGAGTGGAAATGGCAGGATCAGAAAGTTTGACGAAGTGTCCATGGAGAGCTTTGCTCTGAAACCGAACCGCCCCATCCGTGTACCTTTAAGCGAGCTCACGCATCTGGCCATGGTAAGTTCGAAGAGGCCGCAAGCGGAACCCGCATGTTGAACAGGAGCCGCCCTCCATCCGTGCATTTCCAAGCTTCGGGCCGTCAAAGTTGAGGAAGTTTTGAGCGAATGCCACCGCTTTCATGGCGCGCGGCCCGTATCAGCCGAAGAGGTATGTGACCCAGCAGTCCAAAGACAGTGGCCGCAAGCGTGCCCAGAATTGTTACCGAAAACGTAGTGCGACCGAGATTGCGACCGACATTGAAAATGGCATTGGTCCGACCGGTCACATCCTGCGACAGTTTGAAAACCGACCGCCCTCCACCCTTCAAGCTGCTGCAAGGGTTGAAGGCGAATGGGCGCGGCGCCATAACAACGGCCCCAGTTTGACAAGGTGCCGACCTCCACCCGTGCACCCGTAGTACGAGCGCTCAAGACAAATGTGCGCGGGCCAGGGCGAGACACTTTTCTGCGGACGAATTGAATGCACCGTATCGCGTTAGCGTCTCCCGAGTCGTCCTCGATCTTCGACGCAGGAATGGTGCGGTGCATAGTTTTTCCGGTCTTAGAGCCGAACGCATATGCATCGTACCGCGTTGGAGTATGGTACGGTGCATGAGCGCCGTTGTCGTAATTTTGAAGACATACCGACCACCCTATCCGTGCACATATTGCGAGCCTGTAAGACGAGTGTGCGCGGAGCTGGGTCGACAGTCCCGTTTCGAACAGGAAGCGTCCGCCATCCGCGTAGCTGTTGGAAATCATGAGTTTCGCGATCGTAAATGGTGAGGAAGTTCCAGACGAGACGCCAAGTCCGCCCTGCCGCCACGTCTGGTTGTGCAACAGCGAGGAGATATCATGAGAGTTAGGGGGCCGAACCTTCATTCGCTGTCCCTGGGCGCGTGGCTGAAGTGAAGTTCCGTGGTGCGGATTGTTGTTGTTGTTGTTGTTGTTGTTGTTGTTGTTGTGTTGTTGTTGTTGTTGTCGTTGTTGTTGTTGTTGTTGTTGTTGTTGTTGTTGGTGTAGTTGTTGTTGTTGTTGTTGTTGTTGTTGTTGTTGTTGTTGTTGTTGTTTTTGTTGTTGTTGTTGTTATTGGTGTTGATATTGTTGTTGCTGTTGTGTTTGTTGAACTCTCACTACTGAATAATACTTATTGTTGACCCCCCCCCTCCGGTGACCATTGCCTGTTTTCAATTGAAGTGCTTCCCCCAGGGCTCGCACCTTGTTTTTTTAACAAGGACAGTCACGGGGTTCAAAGTAGGCCCTTGCTCCCCTGTTTGCATTAACAGCGGTTCCCGCCGGATATTTTCTGACAGTGTATTCCCAAATCGCGCTCTCGCGCGGCCTCACAAGTAATGTACGCATCGCGCTCTCGCGTGGGACTTCCTCGCAATTTATTCAGACGATGTGCCCTCGGCGCTCAGGAATCACACTCTCGCTTTGGCTTTGGCTGTTCTCGAGATTTACTTGGGAATCGCGATATCGCTCGAGACTTCCTTTCAATTCATGCAGGACACACGCTTCAGCAACCCGCCTGCTCGACCTGGTCGCCTGGGCCCGCCTTCCCGACCTGCCCGCTATGGGTCTGCCCACCCGATCTGCCCGTATGGTTCTTCCACTTGTTTTCAGCTCCTTGCCCTTCTCCTGCTAAGTTCTCTCGTGCTCCATTCTTCTCCCTCCCCCTTCCGCCCGTCCCCTCTTCCCTTGTTTTAGGGGCTGCACTACATGCACGTGGCAGGTAAGGAAGATATGCCCCCAAGGGGGGACGATCGAAGACGACGAGGGCGGGTACCGAGGGTTTGGGACATACGTATTGATTGGCACGTGGGCAGATAGGAGCGAACAGTCTTAAAATGATTGTTGTTGCTGCTGATGCTGTTGTTGCTGCTGATGTTGTTGATGAACCCTCACTGCTGAATAATAAGATTTTTTGACCCCCCCCTCTGGGCCGCATGGTGTTTTTCCGTTGAAGTGCCTTTCGCGGGGCTCGCATTTTTTATCCGAGAAGATCGTGGGTCTCAGAATTGTGTCTCTGGCCCCCGGTTAAAACAACAACAACAACAAAAACAACGGCTACCGCCTCATATTTCCTCGCAGTCTTTTCAAGAATCGCGCTCTCGCTGCGAATTTCCGTACCATTTACCTCTGAATCGCGGTTCCCGCCTGATACATCCTCACACTTGATTGAAGAATCGCGCTCTCGCAGCGAACTTCTTTGCAGTTTACAGCTGAATTGTGACTCCCGCTTGATACTGTCCCACAATTTTTGTAAGAGCCGCGCTATCGATTGGGCCCGCTCGCTGCCCCTTGTGGCTCCGCTCGCTGCCCCTCGTGGCCCCGCTCGATCCTGCCCTTTATAGCCTCGTTCGCTGCTCTTCGCGGCCCTGGTCGCTGCCATGCGTGGCCCCGCGCGGTCTTGCCCCTCCTGGCCCCGGGTGCGTGGCCACCTGGTGCGCCCCGTCCTTCCCTCCCTCCCCCCTTGATCGTCATTGTCGTCGTCGTCGTCGTCGTCGTCGTCGTCGTCGTCGTCGTCGTCATTGTCGTCATCGTCGTCGTTTGTGGCCGTTCTCCTTGGGGCCAGCCTGCCGTCCAGGGCCTGGCACGCCGGCCCTTCAGCCGGCCAGGCCGATATTCCGCGCGATTGCCTCGCCGCCTGCCGTGGGCCAGCCTGTCGGCCCTTCAGCCCCCGCCTTCCTCCGTCCTCCCAGTCCTCCTTTCCTCTTTTCCTCCTTCCCTCCCTCCTCCTCTTCATCTTCCCCTCGTCGTCGACGCCGTCGTGGTCGGCCCCCTGTCCGTCCCTCTTGGGGTCGGGGCGCCGCCGGTCGGTGCCTGCATGGCCAGCGCTGCCGCTGGCCAGGCCGACAGTCCGCGGCTGCCCCGCCGCTTGCCAGGGCCTGGTCAGCTGGCCTCGGAGACGCGCCTTTTCCCTTGGCCCAGGTTCCTCCGGAGAAAGGGGACCTGCGCAGGCGAATGACGCCCCTTCGCGGGCGGTGCGCGGCACATTCTATGGCACGACCTCATGGCGCAGCCGATCGAAGACGCCTGCGCCGAATCAGCGTCGCCCCTTGCCTTTGTGGAAACGCCTACGTCTGTGGCCGAGCGTTGAGGCCAGACCTGTCAAGCTATCGAACCATGTGTTCCCCGAGTCGGTTTGGAAAGCCTTCGGGGAACACGTGGGCATTTTGAAGGTCATGTTGGCCGCCTGGAGGCCATTTTGATTATTTTTTCGGGCCTTCTTGGAGGACGTTTTGGAGGGCTCGTGGGCCGCCGTCTCGGAGGCCATCTTGGCGGCCGTCTTGGGGGCCGTCTTGGGCGCCTCTTGGGCCGTTCTGGAGCCATCTTGGAGGCCTCTTGGGCGATCTTTGGGCGATCTTTGGGGGCTCTTGGGCCGTATCGGGCCGACGGAAGGCCGAAACGAAGCAAATGCCACAATCCTTTAAAACCCTACTGACAATCATGAGTGTTTGTCTTCTTCTGGCCTTCCTGGAGGCCCTCTTGGAGGCCTCTTGGGCCGTCTTGGGCCAGTTGCGAGCCACCTTCGGCTATTTTGGTGGACTCCTGGCCCGTCTGACGCCGTCGGAAGCCGTTTGGGGGACCTTTTTGGGCCGACTTGGGGCCCTCTTGGGGTGCTCCAGGGCCGTCTTGGAGGCCATCTTGGGCGTCTTCGATGCCTCTTGGGCCGTCTTGGCACGCCAGGCACTCCTTGCAACCACCTCTGGAGAATCTTTCGGCATCCTTTCAGGTGGCCGGCGGGACGGGCCGAAACCCCAGGGGGAGTTCTTTTGGAAAAGAAACAAACCAACACCGATAGGATTCGGCACGCCAGGCACCCCTGCGATGAATCGACAGGGGGCGGCGGACCTTGAGGGCCTCTTGGGCCGTCTTGGGCCGCCGGGAAGCCGAAAAGGCGCAAATTCCAAAATCTTTCAACAACCTAAGGACAAGCAGTGAGTTTGGCCTCTTCGGGCCTTCCTGAAGGACTTTTTCTTGGAGGCCGCTTGGGCCGTCTTGGAGGCCTTTTGGAGCCTCTTGGGCCGTTTTGGACCATCCTGAGGCTATCTTAGGCCGTCCTGGGTGCATCTTAGGCCGTCTTGTAGGCATCTTTGGGCCATCTTAGCCGTCTTAGGGGCCATCTTGGCCGTCTTGGAGGCCATCCTGGGCCATCTTGGAGCCGTCTGGAACGGACAAACCCTTTGCAACCACCTCTGGACAATCTTTCGGCATCCTTTCAGGTGGCCGGTGGGACGGGCCGAAGCCCCAGGGGTGTCTTGCGTGCCGAGAGGG